TCCCTCCCTTGCCCTCCCTCCCCTCTTTATTTTGTAATATCTACAGGTGTGTGCTTAGAGTTTGAAGGGATTTCTTTGTGCAGATCCAGGTTGAAATTCTTCAGTCAGTCAGCTCCCTCCTTCCTCCCTCAAAGGCGGCCTTGTTCATGGCGGAATTTCTGAGGTTTTAATTTTGATGCATTTTCTTTTTTTCTTCTCAACTGGACTCCGGGAACACCATGGGAGGCAAAGCGTTTGGTATAGGCTTCATTTCTCTGGACAGCAGTGGGATTGGTCAGGTGCCCTGAACCCTGGGGCTCTTGCCTTTCTCCGGCCTTTTGAGGATAGTGCTGGCAACTGTGTTGACTCTTCCAAAGGCACGTGGTGGTCTTTGAACTTGGAGACAGTGTCTCCTTCTGGAGCAAGAGGCAGCTTGTCAGCGGTCCTCCACGGGTTCTGTTCAGGTTCTGTTCAGTGAGTGACTGAGTTTAGACACAGGGGCTCCGGGTAGGGAAAAGTCTGGAAAAAGGCTTCACTGAAGCTTTTGCAGTCACATAGCTCTAGGCTTTCTGGCGCCTTCATTACAAGAAATTGTACAACTTTATTAACTTATTTTTCTTAAAGCTGGTGATTATTCATGCAAGTGTGCTAGAGCAAGCCCTTGGCTGGAGGACATCCTAGGAACAACGGACTCAGGAGGGTCTACTCCTGCAGAGTTTTCTGTTTCAGAAACATCAGCTACTTTTCTCCAAATCCCACAATATGCTCATTGTCCTCCTTGGCTCTGGAAGCCAGGGAGGGAAGGATTTTCTTTCTGTTTATATCCTAGGAGGAAGTTCTAAATGTTTCCTTTCTTCATCCTTGCATGTAAATAAGTTTCTTAATTCTCATATTTGTGTAAAGAAAGCAAAGGAAGTTGAATCGGAAATACACATAATCCAGGCCTTTAAAAATACTCAAAATGCTTTTTTTTTTTTTTTAATTTTTTTGTGCTGCTCATTTTAAAACAGGAAAATGGCATGGCTTTTACTAGGTGCTTAAATTAAAACATGAAGAACTTAGAAAAGTAGTTGTAATATGATTTGTGGAGGCCTGAGATGTGTAGCTGTGGGGACATGGTCAGCTTCTTTATTCTTTATTAACTTCAGGTATAGCGACCAGCTTCTTCCACCCCACTTTCCTGCTGTGTTCATAAACTTGCTAAAGCTGGGGGTGTGGCCTCCGGATTAGTTTCTGAGTGTGAAGAGAAACAGAAGCTCTGTTTAACCCCATGGTTTTGTGTCAGGGTGGCAGCTCCTGAGGATGCCTGTCACCCCTGTCACCATGGAATTTTTGTTTCCAATTATAATGATCCTCTAAATAATTTGAAAGAACAATAATTAGATGTGGGTTTATTTTTCCCTCGCTGTGTGGTCTTATCCTGTAGACTTTTAATTTAATCGAGTTAAGTTATTTCTAAGCTCCTAATTTGTACATTTTCTGCACTGAAATACTAACACCCTGTTGACCTAATTCTGTAACTTTTGCCGTCCCCCACTGGTTTATCTACCGTCAAGTCATTTCTTTTTTCCTTCTGTCATTTTCTCTGCACAGCCGATCTCATCCCGGGACCACCCATCTGGAGGGAGGGCTTCGGATCTCCTGTTTCATCACACAGTCTTCCAAAGTCATTGGACATCTAATTGTTAAGTCACCTGATATTAAGCGTGCCTCATTAATTGATCTGTTCAAATAGACTTAAATGAACCCTAGCGTGACCTCTATACATCCCAAAGTTCATTCAGCCGTTTGTTTGTTTTACACCTGTCAGTGGGAGCTCCTATGGGAAGGATGGCTGAGTTCATCAACTGGTCAGAGCCAATCTGTGACAAAGCGGATCTCCGGACAGAGGTAGACGCATCTACGAAAGGACATGTGAAAACAAGGATGGGCATCTGTGACCATTTGTGTGCCTGTCACTTGAGGCTTTCCGTGGGACTGCTCATGGCACACGTGCTGCTGGATACAGAGACAAAGAATACATCATTGCTTTGTGTCTGGCCAAAAGGGGCTTCAGTGTTGGCTGCCCTCAATGTGTGGCTGCTAAATAATGTCAAATTAAAGAATAACATGTATGAAGTTTACAAATGGAGCGAGTGCAATGACCATAAAAGTATTATTTTAACAGCTTTGCTGAACACACAAGTTACCATCACATTCACCATTTAAAATACACACTTCAATGGTTTTCAATGACTTAGAGATGTGTGATAATCAGAACCATATCTTAATTTTTAGGACATTTTTATCACTCAAAAAAGCAACTTGAAATACTTAGCCTTGTTCCAATCCCCTTCCCCAAGCGTTTGGGGGCCTCTGATCTCTATCTCTGTAGATTTCTCTCTCTTAGACCATTCACTTACAGGGAATTAGACTCCATGTGGTCTGAGGCACTTTATTTCAAAGTTCGTCTTCGTTGTAGCATGCAATAATACATCATACACATTTTACTTCTAAAAGACCATGAATGGTCATAGCACATTTCACCACTTTTCAGCTGATGGACACTGAGATTGTCACTTGTTTTTGACTACACTATTTTTAAACAGTACTTAGAGATCAAATATTAAAATGATGAAAGAAGTTATAGACTGAGGGGTCTCCCAGTGAGGCAATATATTTATTTTCTTTCTCATGCTAAATGTAGTATCTTTGTATGATCATGCTTAAACTTTTTACTTCAGAAGCTTGGTTTGCCTTCCAGATCAGTACATAAAATATTTCTCATTGTTTGATTTTAAAAAAATACTATTGAGATATAACTGACATGCAACAAACTGTACATACTTTTAATTTTGAGATTATAATTATGACCTTTATCCACTCTCTTTCCTCTCTCCAACCTCCTCCTATATTCACTCCCGACTCTCCTTCAAATTCATGGCCTTCTTTTTTCACTAGTTGTTGCTGCATGCATAAATGTATGTGTATAACATATATTCCTAACATTACCTGTTTAGTCTGTAAAATTTTACTTGTATGTATGCTTTCATGGCTGAATGTTTGGCACTAGATAACCCTAGGGAAGGCCATCCCTCTGGCTCCCAGCTTTCCTCAATTGCCTGTAGTTCTTTGTGTAGGGTCGAGACCTCATGGACTTGATAAATATACAACTTGATAAGTGTATGCATATGTATATACACATGGAAATATTACCCCTGCGGCAATATGAGCATGTCCACCACCCCAAAGCTTTCTCCTGCCCTTTTCTGAATTCATCTCTCATTACTGTTCTCAGGGACCACTCATCAGCTCTGTGTCACTGAATACTGGCTTGCGTTTCCTGAAATTTTATACAAATGGAGTTATGCCACGTATGTATTTAATTTTGTCTGGCTTCTTTCATGAAGTATAATATTTTGAAACCGGGGTGTAGTGCTGTGTATCAGTCATTTGTTCCTTCATTGTTATGTGCCATAGTCTATGTGGATGTGCCTTAATTTGTTTACTCCTTCACCTGTGACAAGCATTTGAATTAGGTTCAGTGTTTAGTTGTTAAAAATGAAGCTGCATCAACACTAGGGTACATCTCCTGTTTGGAAAAGCTCAACCCTTTCTCCAGGAAACATCTAAGAGTTAAACAGCCTGGTTTTATGTCTGGTTCACATTTGCTCACACAAGGAATTGCTAGCTTGCTTTCACAGTTGCATCATTTTCTACTCCTGTGGTAGTGTGAAGAATTCCAGGTCACCACTACCTCCCCTCACTTTGATCGGTCAGTTAATTTTAAGCATTCTTGATACTCAGGCAGGAGAGATTATATTAGGATATTGAAGTAGCACAGTAGTTGACGAGACTTTTTGAGGACATTTTTCAACACTGCTTGGTGCAATGTAATGCCTTTTCAAATATTTTGGTGGATTTTATTTGGTAAAACCTTATTTAAAATCCTGGCATGTGTATTCATGAGCTATGTTGGAATGTAGCTTTATTTCCATAGAATGTTTTTTATAGTTTTGCTGTGGAGTAATTCTGGACAGAGAGATTCCAGGTTCTAGATTCCCCCAAGGATCCAAACCAATAGGTTAATTTGAGATGTTTGATTTGGTTACCAAATGTTTAGAAATTCACCAAACACTGGTCTATTATTGATTTTCAAACTAATTTCATTATGTTCAGAGAAAGAGTGTGATTTGAATCTTTTTAAGTATATGAGAGGTGTTTTATGGAAAGTTTGGTGAATATTCATCTTGGTAAATATTTTGCAACCAGTTAAGATGACTGTGCATTCTTTTGTTGGGTAGAGGGTTGTATAAATGTTCAAAATGGTTGAAAATAAATAGTAAATGATATACAACCTTAATTATTTAGATGCAATTTCCTACCAGTTACTGAGATAGTATTAAAATCTCTCAATAGAGATGCATTCATCGTTATATATTTATTCTCATGTACTTTAAGCTCTGTTATTGTGTGTATACACACTGAATTTTGATTACAATCTGCTTTGTTGTTTTCTCATGTCTCATTATTTAGGAAGTTTTGTAGGTTGGAAGTTTTCACTATAGTTTTAAAAGGTAATTATTTCTTTAAGATTTTCTTCCATCCTCCCTTTCTTATGCTCCATCTCCCTCAATAACTTCTCTCATACATATATTGGATCATATGACATCATCCCATAGCTCATTGATGCAATTATGTGCTTTTGGATTCCTCTTTATCTTAGTATTTCATTTTGGATGGTTTTCATGTGTAGATGTAAGTTCAGAAATATTTCTTTTGCAGCATTTAATCACTGGCTAGTTATGTCCAGTGTACTTCACTGTTGCTCTAGGGTTCACTTTTGAGTGGCTTTTAAATCTTTAAAAAATATTTCCCATGTCTTTGTTTGAATATTGTGAACATATGGAATATTTGCTTATAATATCTGCTTTAAAGTCCTGTGCTAGTTCTAGAATCGGCGTCATTTAGGGAGCCTTAAACTTTTATTTATCTATTTGTAATATTTTTCCCAGTTCTTTGCTTTTTTTCCCCTGTTACTTTTGTTCAGAAATCAGACATACATTATAAACTTTACCTTGCTCAATGGTGAATATCATTTTAAGATTCACCAGGCAGGTGTAGAACAATATTTTATTGGGGTCTTGCATTTCCTCATTACTGAGACGTTCTTCAGTCTTCTACTGTCAATCATGAGGTTTACCATTCTATAGGCATCAGTCAGGTTTTTTTGGCCCTGGGCCCATGCTTGACTCTGGTACTAACAACTATTCTAGGTGGTTTTATGTTAGTCAGTTTTTAATTTCTATAAGAAATATCTGGCCGGGCAGTGGTGGGGCAAGCCTTTAATCCCAGCACTTGGGAGACAGAGCCAGGTAGATCTCTGTGAGTTCGAGGCCAGCCTGGTCTACAGAGCGAGATCCAGGACAGGCACCAAAACTACACAGAGAAACCCTGTCTCGAACCCCCCTCCCCCCAAAAAGAAATACCTGAGAAAATTAACTGATACAAAGCAATGCTTTGCTCTGCCTCAGAATTGTGTCCTTGATCTGTCCATCCCATTATTGGATGGGCACATTTCTTTGGGGCATCTGTCAGAGAGGTAGAATGTTCTGGCTGAATGAAATGGCCTGCCCTGTGACTGGGAAGTGAGATTTAAAGGGGAAGAGACTTGAGTCCTATAGTCTGTCCTTACCCTATCCCTCGACAGCCTGAAGACTTCCCACTACGTCTTGCCTCTAAAGGTCGTCTTACCTCCCTATTAGCACCAGCTTGGGGACTAAGCTTTTAACACAAAACATTTGGGGAAATTCCAGGTCCAAAATATCTGGGATAATTTTCCTATATCCATGGGCTGGTCAAGCCAACAAGCTAATCAATTTTAGACTCTTATTCCGCATATGTGTTTCCTGGCATCTGCTGTTTGGCCAGATATGTGCCTTATCTATTTTTACTGTTGTTGATTCAAATAGAAAAACATGCCTTTTTGCATCATCTTGGCTGGAAATGTAGGTCAACATCTAACAATTGAGTTTTATTAACTTCTGTGGACTTCTTATATTTTATACAGCTATTGACTCTTGCTAAATGACATTATTTTAATTTTTTACTGTATGTGTGTTCATGATGTGTATGTGTAGGTATGCATGCCACTGCATGTGTGCAGAAGTTAATGAACGGTTGTTCGTGATGAACTTGATCTCTTCTTCCACTTTTATGTGGGTTCTGGGCTTGAACTTAGGTTGCCAGGCATAGTCTTAATTTTGCTTCCATGCAAATATGATATTAGGTTTGAGATAACTGAAGCCAAAAATAGGTGCATTCTTGATTTTGGTGGCTACTGTTAGATGTCTGTCTACTAGCAAATATGCTAGTCTGTGTTCCCTCTAGTAATATTTTATAACAGCACACTTTTTACAGACCTTAGTAATTGTCCCCAAAGGAGAAAGCTTCAGTTTTTCAATGAAAATTTTACTTAATTTCTATTCACAATCTACTTTCCCAACAGTTTTGTGACAGTTTTAGCAACAAAATAATCACAAGGCTAAGTCTGTTTACAGAGTCGATGGCTGACTAGATTTAGAATTAGGTCTTCTGCAGGCTTTAGTTGTCTATTTTTCATATTAAAATTTCAAGAAGCGATAGGATACAGCCATAATTTCCCATCTGAAAGATGTGGTTCTTTCATTGAGTTAATTCTACTTTCTGAATTTAATGGTCAAGTTTATTTGATCCCTTCTGAAGATATGCATCTCAGAGAGTGTTTTAATCATTGCACCCTGCCCCCAAGGATCTAGGGGTATGCTATCCCAAGTGAAAACCATTATGATATTTTTAGTACTCTATTTTATCTCAGGAAATGTTCCATAGGTTGAAAATAAAGTAATCTAGAAATGTACTTGGTACTTTTAACCTACAGAACCTCACAGCTCGGCAACACAGTGTACTGTAGAACATGGACTATTTGTCTTTATAATACAGGTTGCTCAGCATTGCTCAGCATTGCAAGGGGGAGTCTTGTTGCAGATGGATAGCCTGGGAGAAGAGCAAAACCTTTAAGATCACCTATACACCATCGATAAGGCCTCAAACAATGTGAGCTGGGTCATCATAAGTCAGCAGCTGTATAATTATGTGCATCTTTTTACTACATAGCTTTATTATCTTGTATTTTTCTCCTACAGCATGAATGTGATATATATGGGACCATATTGTAGGACCATTAAGAAGCATATTTTAAAAAGAACTTCTGAGTTGACAAGGCTTAAGCAATACTTTTTTTTTCTACAAATATACGGCTGATATAACCAAAGTTACATTCTTATTCATTTTCTTTCATATATTTGAAATATTGTCATCTTTTTCAACAGTTTCCCCTGTTAATTCAGAAGGTATTAATGGCATTAACTGCCACATAGTAGATAAGAACAGCTGAGTGTTAAGGCAGAAAGTTTATGATAGACACCTGTCCCTTGGGATCATATGGTTATTCTTAGTTGCATTCATGAAGAGGTTTTCTTCCCTCCCTTCTTTCCTTATCCCCTTCCTTCATATTTTGTTGATTATATCCAAGGTCTTATTGTGTCTCATCCATTGGAGGTTTCATCCTCTGACCCTAGAAATCATAAAAATTGGATTATTGTGAATACAAAAGAACCAAGAGAGCTTGGGACAGTTTTATACTTATTCTTTATCTATGCAGCTGGAACAGAAACAGTCAGAAACAAAAACCATTTAGATCTCAGATCAACATAGCTTTGCTACTCCCCTAGAAGAGGGATTACTTTTTCTTTATTTTAACTCCCTTTTCAAGTCATAATTTCAACACAAAACATGGATTTACAATTAAACAATATGCGTCATAATTACTTTTCTGCATGATACAACCTAGGGAAATATCTTTGAGGAAAATTACTAAGAAATCCCCAATGTTTTCTTTTTTATGACAAAAGAGATTAGAATTCTTCAGGTAGTAGACCAAAAATAAGAATTGGGTTCATCAACGACACAAAGTAACAGTAGCATTACAGGGAATTGCTTGGGGGTGATTACAAAATGCCTGTAGCTTTCAGGAACACTTTATGATTTATCTGCCACGTCAAACAGGATAAAGGAACTAATCTAAAGCCACTTAGAGTTATATTTATAAAACTAGATGGATGAATATTTAGTAGAGGTATTCTGTGCATATATATATATATATATATATATATATATATATATATATATATATATATATATATATATATATATATATATATATATGCTTAATCAATGTAATTATCCATTCACCAATCGCGGCCTTGGAAAATTTTTACCTTAAGGTCAAGTGCATTTTTCATGCCATCTGTAAGAATGTTGTCAGAGAGTATATACCTAATTTTTCATGATTATTACCCTAACCTTAAAATACACTTATATTTCTAATACCTCTGATATTCTAATTTAGAAATGATGCCATTCAACTATCACCATCAAACCAACAACTACATAGAATGATTTGTAATCGAGTCCCTCGATTAGTGACTGCCACCTCCCAAAGATTCTCAGCTATTTGCCATATGCCAAAGAGCAATGTGTCACGCAGACCTGTGAACAGAACTAAAACCAAATAAGGTGATTTGTTGGCCATATCAGGCAAGTAGCAGAGCCCAGAAAATAGAAGACAGACACTCATTTTAGGTGCTGCATCAATAGCACAAAGCTATCCCAGACTTTATTTCCTAACCATATCTACCCATGGAGACAGAAACAGGGAGACTCTGGTGTTTGCTGGTCAGCCAGCCTAGCTGAACCCTTTGCTTCAGATCTAATAAGAGACCCTCTTTCAAAAAACAAAAAGAAGAGCTACACATAGGAAGCTACATGTGATGCTAACCTCTGGCCTACTAGTGAGGACAGCTGTACACACACACACACACACACACACACACACACACACACACACACACACGTGAGAGCAACTTTCTAGGCAATGGAATTTTTTTTCTTCAAACTCTTTAATATTTTTCTTACATTATTTATTTAATATCATTATTATTTGTGTATGTGTATGTTTGTGTGTGTGCACACATGTATGTGGAAGCTAGAGGTTCATGTCTGGGCTTTTCCTTGTTTGTTTTCTACCTTATCTTGTGAGATGCAGTCTTCCTTCTGAACCTGGAGCCCACCAATAGGTTAGTCTGTCCAGCCCAGAAGCTCTAGGGACACATTTTCCAACACTGAGTTATAGATAAGCACTGGTGAGTGTGTCTTTTATGTCGGTTCTGGGAATTGGAACTTGGGTCTTCAAAGACATCATGGCAGCAAATTCCTCTCCCTAGCCCCTCGCACATTGGCTCTTGATCTGGATAGAATGGCTGCACAGAGGAACACCTCTGTACTTTAGACAGGAAAACCAGCCTAGAGTTATCCCTGGCCACTGGCAGCAGAGTCACCCAGCACAACACAGAATCATTTGGGTAAATTCAAAAATCCCGCCTCTGTGTCACAAGCAACACAAATTAAATTAAATTGACCGGGCCTGAGAGTTGGATGTTAGCCATTATTACTTATTTATTCTCTCTCTCTCTCTCTCTCTCTCTCTCTCTCTCTCTCT